TCTCTTTCTCCTTGCGTTTTTCTACAAAAAAGGTTAAAATTTATTTCACCCAGTGGGCACCGGACCAAAAAAGACGTCTTTTGAACGTCAAAACACGTCCAAAACGTTCTAAAGACGTTCAAAAGATGTCCACAATGTGTATAAGACGTTTAAAAGACGTCTTTTTTACGTTTGTGCCCACTGGGCATGCAACCAAACTATCTGATGACCATTTTTGATGTATTCGTTAATGTTCCTAACATATTCAGCTCTTTTTTGTTTGTTCTCATCACTATTCATTGTAGTAAACTCCTTGTGCACTTTTTTAAACGAAAATAGTCTGCCTTCGAGGTAATTGGCAATTGTGGTTGTGCTGAAGCTATTATTAAATTGTCTTAACATTCTTTTTTTAATGGCCACCAATGTCAACTGACAGTCACTTTCAATCCATGTTAGTGTTTCTTCGATTTAATTATCGGTTAATTTTTTTAGTTTAAAACTGACTAAATTGTATACTGTCTTGTATTTGACACCTAAAGTTTGCACCAGAATCACCCAATCGTCATTTCGCTCAGCACATCCAATAACTCTTCTTCTTTTATTCAATGAGAATAAAACGTAATGTTTTCTTTCAACTTGTTCAGTTGTATGTATTTCATGTCTACATATTGGACAAGTTGGTTCTGGTTGTTTCAGAAGTGGATGTAAATAAATTTGGTGAAATAAATGCTTGCACGAATTCAATTTAATAACAGACTTTCTGTTCAAGTGTATTGACAAATTACACAACGATTTTTCAATTCCATTAATGAAATTACTGTATTGCTGGTGCATACAAATGCTAAATTTGATGTTATTAATTTATTAAAATGCATGTCGAAGAAGATTTTTTATAATGACCTTTAAGTGAATTCGCAACTACAAATAATATACCGGGTGAATAAAAAAATCAATTGCTTTTACTCAGTAATTGGTCAGCTTTACGTAAATAAAAACTATAGAAATTTTTTTTAAGCTTTTAATGACGTAAAGATGAACAATTACTCAGCGTTTTGAACAATTACTCACCTTTAAAAGTTTATAGTATAAAAAATAAATATTGAAACTATACCTTTATTTTAAGTATAAAATTGAAATTATAGTATAATTATAATATAAGTATAGAATAAGTATAAATATTGAAACTTTATTTTAAGTATAAAATAAAGGTATAGTTTCAATATTTATTTTTACATTTTTTTATACTCATTTTTATATCTATTTATTTTTTGATTTTGCGAGTTTTTTTCCATCAATTTTTTTTTTCTCGTAATAAAGAATTATTATAGGGGAAGTTCGTGTACCTAGGGCCATCCCACTTTATTTGAAAACTATAAAGTTCTAAGTAATTCTTCTCATTGAGATGATCAGTTATAAAAAGTTTTATTCTTTAATCCTATTTTGATTCTATTCAAAATAAATCAGAACAGATATCTAACCAGATTTTCAAATAACAGTTACATTCAAAGGTATTTTGCGGCGACTGAATTTTCAATTTCTACAAGAGGACCAAAACTATGGAATAAAAATTAACAAATGAACTTAAATCAATTGCAACGCTTAATGAGTTTAAAAACAAATTGAAGCAAAAACTATTGATTAACGACGCAGCGCTCAGCTTTTTCTGAAGTATTAATGATTGCTACTAATAAGTAATTAGAGGTTTGTCATTATCAGCTTGACGATCTTAGAAAGGATCGTGTCACTTGTTACTGATTCATTTCTTCTTTTATAAAAACTTATGATTTATAAAAATTCTCCAGATAATTTAAGGTATCTGCTGGTGTAAAAGGAAAGCTTCAGGATTATGCGTATTTGCCTGCATGCTTTTTAATAATAGAGTTTTTATTATGCTAAACATTTTTTTTTTCTTTTTTTTTTTTTTTTCTTTAAATTTGTATTTAAATTTTTCATAACCAATACAAAACTAAAAAGTTAAAGTTAAAAAACATTAAGAACTATTATTTTTATTTATAAAATCTTAAGAAAGTGTTTTATATTATATTGTGTTACGTTTTTTTTTAATTTATTACGCTATTTTATATTTACGGTATAGATTAAGGGGGTTGGTGATAAGACAAATTATGTCTTCTTCTTGCCCCTGCTATTTTTATATATGTTATGCTTTACGACTTGAATAAATTTATATGGTAAAAAAAAAAAAAAAAAAAAATTCTCAGAGAGCGTTGCTCAGCAAATTATAATTGAAAAACAATTTTTGATGGTCTGAAGTAAGTTTTTGCTGTTGGTATCTTAGATTTTTTGCAATACGAGAGGAAATGTTTACTAAAAGTTTTTGCATGTTTTATTGTTTGTTAAATACTAAATGCAATGTTCAATAAGTTTCCTCTCAATCGAGGTTCGTTAAAAGATGAAATTTTTCATGGGGCTATCATTTCTTGAACCGAGAGCCATATGTGCGTCAAGAACTTGCTTGATCACGAGATAGATTTTTGAACTTTGATTAGTGCAAAAAAGTTTTCTCTCGCGTTTTTTTTTTTTTTTTTTTTTTTGTGTGTTTTATATTACAATGTTTAAAATACAAATACAAATATACAAGTAAAAATATAAAAATTACAAGTAAAGGTATCGTAAAAATAAATAAATAAAAAACGCGGATACTCAAAGAAGACCATTAGGTCTTGTCACAGAGAACCGCTGATGAAGAACTTGAAACTTAAAATTTATACAAAGTATAAAAGTTGTTATACAAAAAAAATTCTTCATTGAGAACCGCTTGTAAATTTAAAAATCTCATAAAAATCAAATGCATAAATACATTGTCAAGTGTGTAAAACACAAAAAAAATTCAAGTGCATTCATATGCATATTCAGTGTTTAAAAATACAAAAATACATCATCAATAGACAAAATGATTTCCTTAAGATTTTTTTTGAATTCTCATTCAAAAAAAATCTTAAGGAAATTCATTCAAAAAAAATCTTAAGGTAACTCTATTCCAAAGAAAAATCAAAATGATTTAAAACTATTTTATTCCAAAGAGTAGCCCCACGAAATGATTGATTTTGCAAAAATAGTTTAAAAAAATGGTTGACGAATTAAATTATCATTTCTTTATTTTTATCTTATAAAAATAAAGTTGTATTTATTTTTGTAAGATAAAAATAAAGAAACTGGGTTGCAGTTAGTTTTGCATTTGTACATAAAACAAAGAATATTAAAAACATTTAGCTGAAATATATCAAGAATTTTCATTTTAAATAAGAGAGGCTTGGCATGAGTAAATCTATCTTTAAAATTAATAAGACGAGCAACATGCTTTTGTTGACGATAAAGAGGCATAAGTTTAAATTTACTAGCACTACACCAAGCAATATTTTCATAGTTTAAATAACAATGAATAAAAGAGTAATATAATTGAGTTAAATTACGTTTATTCAAAGCATTTCTAGCTTTATAAAATGTTTCTATACTTTTAGCAACTTTATTACATAAGAATTCTATGTGATATTTCCAGTTAAGGTTTTCATTGATATAGATACCCAAAAAGTTTGTATTAATTACTCTTTCTATTAGAATTTTGTCAATAAAACTTAATGGTAAATCGAAAGGCAGAAGTTTTTTTTTTTAGAAGCTGGATAAAAAAGTATCCAATTAGTTTTTTCAACATTAGTGAAAGCTTGTTTATTTTAGAAATTTTTGAATTTTCATTCAGAAATTTTTGTTAATTCGATATTCATATTTTGAAATAATATTGTAATGTTGTTATCAGATAAATTAAGCATGGAACGGTATTTCAAAGGTTTGTTTGGAAAATCTGATAAAAAATATGAAAAACTGAATCATTGAATTAATTAGTGTAAAAGGTAGCACACATTATTAAAAACTAAACTAATTAAAAAATTATTATCTAGAACGAAAATTATAAAGGATTACCTTTGATGGAACTATAGAAAATTCGCCTGTTTTTTCGAAATATTTCTAACGTTTAAGTTTTACGAAATAAATTAATAATTATTTTCTATTAAAATATTTGCTTATTTATTTATTCCTAATAATTCTTGTAATAAACAAACAAACAAAAAAAAAATGCAAGTATTTTGTAAATTTATTTATATGCACAAATTGTAAGTGGAATTATGGAAATTTCGTTGAGTGTACTTGGAAACTTAAAATTATCGAGGAATATAATTCTAGTTAAGAATAATACAAAATTATTTTTATTAACTTGTTGCTTTCACGTTTGGGGTGAAGGATGAAATTTTAGGGCTTTTTTTGTTTCTAGACTCTAATCATTGTAATTTTTTGCAAAGCATTGTCATTTTACATAAGTATAAACATACAAATGTTTGGAGTTTGCTCCAAAATGTCTGAAAGTTTTTTTAAATCTCAATATGTATATATATATATATATATATATATATATATATATATATATATATATATATATATATATATATATATATATATATATATAATTAACTTGTTATTTATCAAAAAGTAATTACAATGTGATTGCATAGATAACATATAGATTTTGGAGCTTCGCAACTAAATTTAACATTTAGATTTGGAGCTTCACTATTAATAAAAGCTGGCTTAGGCTCCTTTCTAGCTCCAAGCCAGCTTAGAGCGGCCCTAAGCCAGCTTAGAGCGGCCCTGTATGAAAGTATTTATAAAATCACAAGCAAAAGAAAAAAAAAATTAATGAAATACATAATTGAAAGTTTAATTAGGTATAAATAATGTTGACATGCTATGAATTAGACAAAACTTTAGTAGGGTTAATAAAAACTAGGTAATAGTTAATAGTACATGTTATTATTTTATTTTAGGGGCCCCAAGAAGTCCTTTCGGACTTAACACCAAGCATCGCGGAAGAGCATTTGAAAGGAAGTTTACGCCTCCTTCCTTAGCGATGTTATAAAAGTTGCCCAGAGAGTTGAATCACGGACCTTTAGTTTCTTAGGCAAGCGCGCCTATTATATATTATATATTAAAACTAAAAACTACTCTAAATATAAAATTTGAAATTGAGATTTTATTTATAAATTTTTAAGTACATCTAATATTAAAAAAAAAAAAAAACGATTAATACAGGTTAATAATTACAAATAATTAGTTTTTCTCTCTTACATTTTATGGGTAGGATAAATTTGGGTTGCGTAAATATTTGAATGGATAGATTGAATAGATTTATAGATTTGCTCCGAATTTATAGGTAATGTCGTCATTTCAAAGACAACTATTTGAGCACATCAATCACACAAGCTTATAGGAATTTACTTCAAAAATACTTTTATAGTATTGCTATTATAATAAAAGAATTTATAGAAACAGTTCAGGAAAAAGAACTTTTTCTCCCCCATCTCGTTCAACATTTTTTATAAATTCAGAAAAATCAACATAAGGTTGACAACGTCCGTTTTCGTCCAACTCTATTGACTCTACGCGATTATAAATTTTATCAGAAGGGTCCTTGCAAGACAGAGAACTTGAGTATGTTTTATTTAAATTGTCCATTGAATTGTCCAAAGATAGATTCTCGTTTGAATATGACTTAGTCTTACCAACGACTAAAAGAGAAGTATTTTCATTGAAAAACGGACTCGGTTCAAAATTATCAGTTATAAACATTGTCATGTCAGGAGGTTTGTCAAACGTTTTCATAGTTTGGTTAGTGGAAATTAGTTCAGTACTGCTAAAACCCAAGGCGGTAGTAGGCGGAGAGCTATTCAATTGTTCATTATTAGAAACGTGCATCGAAAAAGGACCTACAGTAACACCTTTAGGAGTACCAGGTGTAGCTGTTGAGGGCGTATTGCTTCCTGTAGAACTGGGAGTATTTGCAGTCTTTTCTAGCGCAGAAGGTATCTTTAAGGGTGGAAGATTATAGCTTGCAAATCGCTTTTCGAAGCACCCGGATGAAGACCTAAAAAACAATATAACTTGATATTTGATATCATTTACATCGTCATCAATAACTCGTGCAACTATTTATATTTTAAAACTTTTATTATGAACTATAAAACAAAACAAAAAAAAAGGAAACCGGCTAGCAACAATTTGTTACTAAGACAGTGATTTGACCATGTCTCTTTATGCTTACAAAACTTTTTTCAATTTTTGCTTGTGATTTTTACTTTCTAAAACAACTGTTAACAACTACAAAATACAATAAATAGTTCTCGACTAGATATAGATATAGACTTCGTTGTTGTATTAAAGCCAAGATGGTTATGTGTTCATTAAAGTCAAAACAATTTTTTAAGGTTGTAAAAGAATCAAACAAAAAGGCGCGAAAAAAAATCACTGAAAAACCGCTATAAAGCTAGCTAGTCGCCAACTCACTTCAGGTAGTTCATTTAAAAGTTAAAACTTTCTTAGAGAGAAATAAAAACAATTTTTCATTTGCTTGAAATGAAAAAACAAAACACTTGTTGAGCTATTCCGCCTTGTACACAAAATACTTTTAGAATTTTTTAATTCTAGAAAAAGTAAACTATATATACCATTGGTATATATAATTTTAAAAACATACAACATCCACACTATTCCTTTCTCCAAATATATTTTGGTAACATATTTGTAGACTTTGTATTTTTAAAAAAATCAAAAAAAGACACAAAAAAAAGTCACCAACTATTCACTAAGACAATATTGCTATATATGGGTATAGAGAAAGAACTGGGTTACTTATATGTAGGGATGTACCGAAGCTAAGATTTTGCCGAAGCCGAAGCTTCGGCCGAAGTCACTCTGCCGGAGCCGAAGCTTTTGCACTTATATAGATAAATGTTGCTATCTCACAAATCTAGCTATCTAGGGATAATATTAGTTGCTGAAAAATATTTTTTAACATTTTACTCCAGTTATTATATATACTGCATATTGCAAAATATATGTACTGTAATGATAAGTTATTTTAGCAAATAAGGTATTTTACTATAACAAGGTTTTTTTTAATTACACGATATTATAGGATTTATGATGTAACTATGCCTTGTTTAAACAAGTTTAATGTTATATGGAAAAAAGATGACTAGCTAATTAGTAATTCTAAATACAAATTAGTAGTTAAACTAGGGTGTGAATTATAAAACTAATTTGGCTTCTTGTTAGATTAATCAAGTCTAAACTTTAAAATTATATTATAAACAATGTTTAGTTTACATTAGTTTTAACTTTGAAGTATAATAAAATTACCATTTAGTAATTACTAATTACAAGTGAGGAAAGTTATTTTTATTATACTTATTAGTTTATTACGTTTAAATTAGTTATCTATTGTTAGAAATTAGGCAAATTATAATTTAAAAACGTAGTCTGTTCTCCATGCTCGGGCAACAGCCTGCTTCTTTTGGCTAAAAATGTTTCCCGTTGTGCTAAAAGAGAGCTCTTAACGGATGAAGCTGCACACAAAATTTTCATTTTCACAGGTGCACAGTTCACGCCTCCTTCCTTACCGTGACGCATATATATGTTCAGAGCTCGTTTCGAACCTGAATCTCCTGCATATAAAGCAAGCACTGTAACGACTGCGCCACGGCCGCACGGAGCTGGTTTAATTGTAAGCACCCCACCACTTATAAGAACATTTATTTTTTGGTTGATATGCTAAAGTAGAAGTGAATCAATTGATGAATCAATTGAAAGTTTAAACTAACATTTTATATCTTTTATCAAATAAGGAAAACGGAATGCTCTTGTTAAACTTATATATAGTAACGAATAAACATTTATAGTTGATAAACAATTATGTTGCACATGAAAAATTAAAAATATTAAATGCAAAAATACCCGTAACTACAGGTAGACACAGCCTGCCTGTATATAGTTTGTGCCTGCCAGAGTTAGGTTTGCAGTAATATTAAACCTGTAAATAAATTTCTAGCAACTGAACGCAACAAAATAATTAATTTGAAAATTAACGTCAATTTTTAATTAAATTTGTAATAAATTTAAAAAAATAACAATTTTATTCATAAAATTGTTATTTTTTTTAAATTTATTATTATAAATTATTATTTAAGAAATTTTTTACTTGTACCATTTTTCTTTTAAATTTTGAGCTTTTCCTCAAGAATTTTTACTATTATACTTTTTTCCCCCTCCGTCAGTGTTTTCACATTTCTGTGAAGCATTTTCATTTATACCCATTTGATCAAAAAACCTGAACATAACCTTGATTTGTCACGATCACGTGATATATGATTTGTCACGATCACGTGACACAACCTTGATTTGACTATCACGATCAGAGTCTTTAACGAAATCAAAAATCAAAATCAACTTCTTTTGCTTGTTGTAAGTGATTATTTTTAACAAGCAAATTTTATATTAAGGGTACTGCAGCTTTTATATATAGTTTCGATACTCCAAATGAAAGCGGTAGTACCCTTGATATAATATTACATACTATAAAATTACATTCTTTACATACTTAAACATACTATGGTCTGTTTCTTTAAAAAATATAATGTAAAACGGGGTTTGAGCATCATATCAATTTTCAGACGAACAGTACCTTTGTATTTATGAAAATAAATTTTAAAATCAGTTTTAAGCTCGTCAACAACAGTTTTGATTTCAGTTGATTTGCCCTAAGCATAGTCAAGAAACGGTATGATCTCTGATGTGTCTGCACTCATACCTTTTGTGCGCTTTCAAAGGGTTTTAGTATGCATACAATTATTTCAGCATGCTGCCATTGATTTTCATTAGGTTATTTGCTTCTTTAATTGTAAAATCATAATGATTCATGTTTTTGAGTGGGTTAAGAAATAATTTTACTAGCGCAAAATTCAAGCGCAAAAAACTAAATACAAATTACAGTGAAAATAGGTTTCAGTAAATACAAAAACGGAATAAAACTAAACATAGAACTTAAATAAAATGTAAAAAAGCACCTATTAATTTTGATAAGCAGGCAATCAAAAAAAAGAAAACAATATAGTTTGCAGTTTTGCAATGTATACTATGTATGCCGCGACATACGTTATGAATTCAAAGTAAAGGAGCAAATTACAATTAGTAGAATTGTAATATAAAGTAATTATATTGTAAGAAATAAAATTATTTTATATTTATTATAACAGTAGCTTATTACCTTTAATTACCTAAAAAAAACTTGCCGAAGCTTCGGTACATCCCTACTTATATGGAAAATATTTAAAAATACATCAATTATGGGAAGATGGTGAACAATACAAAACAAATAGAAATGAGATTACAAAAATTGGTGTTAGGCAAAGAATACAAAAGAACTTTAAAACATCAACACTGAGATCTTGCATCTAAAATTAAACTAAATTATACAGAAGGTAAATTTTAATAAAAGAAAAATCAGTACCGTGAAAATTTTTTTTTCATTTTAAAAGTTTTTGTTAAAAATTTAAATTGTTTAATGGACTTAATTCAAACATAATTCAATCATGAAGCTAACATGATTATAACAACCATAAATCAAACATGAATCAAACATGAACAGTAATCTACACCCATACAAAAGTATGCAATTCTCATCTTAGAGCACATTACTTATATTTCAAAAACCTTATTCTTAGCTTACTTAAGTCAAATAAGTCAACTATCATACTATATATATACTATATATTATACTATATATCATGTACAATATAATTACCTGTTTTGCGTGCAACCTAGCTCCATATTAAAAAGCTTAACTATCAATGTCATATCATCTCGTTTAAGGCAATGCGTGTTATGTGATTTTAAAAATTTGGTTTGGTGCATTCGACATATTCTGTTAATAACTTCTTGAGCCACATCTTTTATGGAAGATCTTTTCCCTATTTCTTCTTCCACCATTGAAGCAATACCGGAATTGACCTATGAAAACTGCAACTAATGAAAATGAGGCAAAAAAATTTAAAACGCAGTTAACACTGAAAATAAAATGGAAATAATCACTCACCTCTTCTGGTAAAGCATCTGTTGCATGCATGTAGGCATGATACACACCATGTGACATTAGGATCAAGAACTTCATTGAGTTATCTATCTCTTCCCCACCGTGAATAGATGGAATTGAAAGAATAGGCTCTTCAGAAGCAGAACTAAACAAAAAAAATAAACTTTAATGACATTGATAGTTGGCAAAACTAAAACTAAATTCTTGACAAAATTCTCTTCGTAATGTTGCAGATTCAATGAAGAAGATTATGAAATGAAAAATACATAACGTAATCTACCAAGGAAAAAATAAAACTCTAAATTTATAATGTAATTGTCAAAATGACTTACCTCAAAAAATAATTATTTTTGTAACCTGCTTTTAAGCTCCAATCACCTAAACTGCGAGTTACTCGAAGAATGGAGAGAGTTTGAAGCTGCTCTATGTCAACTCCAAGATTTCCAAGTCTTTGTAACTCAGATATTGTTGAAACCGTATGATCAGTACTGAGCTGATAAAACAAATTTAAGAAACTAAAAACAAAAATAACAACAGAAACAATCGTACAAACTTTACATAACTATATATTTTTATATTTTTTCGGACAAAAATACTTTTAATCAATGCTATCAATTAAAATTAATTATGCATTTAAAAAAACTAATTTAATTCAACAATTATAAAAAATTTTCCAGTGGGAAGAACTGTTATTTAAATTAAAAGTTTATAGGAGAACATTTGTATAAAAATGATTATAGCATTTAAAGAAATTTAAATGAGTTCTAATTTTAGTTCTGAAAGTTCTTTGACTATAATCATAGGTTGAAAATCTTCATTAACAAAAAAAAAAAACTTCAGCACTAGACTTAGCACTAAATTTTTTAAAAAACTTCTTGCATCAGACTCTTGATAAATATAATGCCTGCACATAATGACATAAATAATGACTAGCCCTGTGACACACTATGCATCGTGAAGCAGAAATAGGATTTTACTTTCTTTTCTGAAAATTTTTTCCAAGTTTAATATTTTAAATCCTTTATAACCAAATCAAGTTAGCATTTAATAAAAAATAATTATTTCAAATTTTTTTAATTTGCATTTTTAAGAGCAGGATTTAGGGATTAAAAAATCCGGGTCTTCACTAAATCTTTATATTACATAAGATAATTTTAAAATTTCTTCATTTCGTATATTATCAAATAATACATTTTATAAATTAAAAGCCAAGAAAAGAAAAGAAAAATGTTTGGATTATTGTTTTTATGTTTCCGTGAAGATTGATTGATTGGATCATGTTACAACAGAAATAGCCAGTTTTTTATTTGTTATAAATGCGACATATTTAGATTTTATAAGTAAAATCATATTCTGGCTACCTCTGTAGTAACATGATATAAAATCAATTAAACTGTAATGGATTTTATTAAAAACCGGTCAGTTAACAAGTATAAAAAACAATACTGGAAACATATCAGTACATATGTACAATGCATATTTTCACAAGTAAAAATTTATCTACATGTGCTATGTTTTCTATCTAATACAAAAACACTAGGTTTAAAACTTTTTTGAATAAAAAATATTTTTAGGGGTCCCTCAAGACCCTTGAATATTTAATAAGCCCCTAATATTTTCAAAAAAAAAGTTTTTCAAAAATATGTCAAACTGGTACTCAAATGAAGCGAAATTATATAAAAATTTCAAAAATTATATTCATTTTGAAAAAAATTTTAAATTATCAGAATTATCATAAAACTTATCAAAATTATCATAAAAAAACATAAAAAATGCATTTTTTTATTTTTTGTTAAAAAACGTAATTTTTTAAGTAATAAAACCAAAAATAACAATTTTTTTAAAAATGAATACTATTTTTGAAATTTTGATATAATTTTGATTTATTTGAGTACCAGGTTGACATATTTTTAAAAAACTTTTTTTTTGAAAATATTAGGGACCCATTAAATATTCAAGGGTCTTGAGGGACCCCTAAAAATATTTTTTATTCAAAAAAAATTTAAACCTAGTGTTTTTGTATTAGATAGAGCACATTTAGGGGGTGGGAGCAGGTTTTTCTCAAAAAAGTTGTTTTAAGGGCCACCCTAATATATATATATATATATATATATATATATATATATATATATATATATATATATATATATATATATATATATATATGTTTTCACAAATCTTGTAAAAAAATTTAACATGTATATATTATACATTACGACAACTGAGTATTTTCAAAAAATAATTTTTTTAGTTTGCAAAAATCATATTTTGAGCTTTAGTTTCCATTTTATCAATGTTACAAGTCATTTAAAGAATTAAAAATTTTTTAAAAAAATACACTCAATCCGGTCAAAATCCGGTCCCCCTCCCCCTAAAAAAATAGGGAGGCAGAGGGGGAATATATATTTTTTTTGGACTTACCCAAAAAATTTCCTGTAAACGCCCCTGATATATATATATATATATATATATATATATATATATATATATATATATATATATATATATATATATATATATATATATACATATATATATATATACACACACACACACACACAAACACGTATTATAATACGTTTATAACTTTTTTTAATAATAACAACTTAATACATATAAGATTAAAAAAATATTCTGGAAAAAAGATTAGGACATATAAGGAGAAACAGCAATTAATTAGAAAAGGTATAAATCTGATTAAACAAGGTAATTAAATTATTAGGCAGGGTGAGTGTAAAATAAAAGGTGAACTGCTGCTTCACGCTCATGAACGAAATATAAGCAGGTATGCAAAGATTTATAATCTCCCTCTCTTTATATATATATATATATATATATATATATATATATATATATATATATATATATATATATATATATATATATATATATATATATATATATATATATATATATATATATATAAATGTCTTGCATTTCAAGCAATTTATTGTTTTTTTCAAAAAAGTCTCATTTTCAAATCTAAATAAATAAAAAACCAATTATCTTAAATACTTAAAAATCAATCTGATAGCAGTGATCTACCTCAACTTTCAAAAAAATAAAAATTTATTTTACAAAAATAATCATTTTTTGGCCATCTTGGTCTTCTAAGTTATCAAAAAAACACTTTAATGAAAAAATTTCAATATTAATAAAGCAAATGAAAGCGAAATACACAAGCAAATGTGAAAAATATGTTATTTTGTGAGAATGTAGGTGGTAGTCATTCTTCATAATATGCTTTGTAACATTGTGTCCAGTAAATTTAACACTTGGTGTTCAGTAAATTTAACACTTGAAACTTTTAGGAATGTGTCTTCAATGTAAGAAGAAGAAATACAGAAAAAATATTTTTGGTATGTCTTGTAGCTGCTGAGATATCTAAACTTAAACTTTCTATAATAATAGATTTCTGGAATTCAGAATCGGCCATTTTGAATTTGTTATATAGTCAATATCTTTAATTTCTTCTAATTCTTCCTCAGAAATTTGATAGCTTCTTGCTGATTGACATTGTGCAGCAAGAGTATTTACTTTTGCTAAAACATTAACAACAGGAACCCAACATTTTTCTTCTCGCCTGGGCCATATAAAGTTTACTCCATTTTGTTGCATGAATTTTATACAAATATCTGAATCATCTGCAATTTCTTGTACCATTGCACAGGGTCCAGAAATGCCACTTTTAAGGCAAAAATTATATCTTCACTAATTTTGAAGATAATATGCTAAAATTTTTAGTGAATGTTCATTATACTCTGGCCAACAATAACTGTTATTGTAGTAATGCTTTATATACCTCTGAAGGACATGCCAATAACACAAAAGCAAGGACAAATTGCAAAACGAAAAATAAACATGTGACACATATTTCATATTAATTTTCAACTTTCTATTGACTATAAACAGTCACCAGAATGTTTGATACATTGTTTGATTTAATAAGTATCATACCTGTGCAGAACACCAAAAACACATAGCATAATAAAACTTCCATTTAACTTATTTTAACAGAATTATGAATACCTTTTAACTATATATTTTCTAGAGGACTTCACATTTATAACATCTTGGTGGATTATAAAAACATGCAAAGTATCACACCAAGGACAACATTAAGGACAGGTGCCAAGGACAAAAAGTAAGCACAACAACAATATATAAAAAATTAAAATAATTTGTACTTATATCTAGATGTTAAAATTTATTTCCATAATGCTAACAAAATGTAATATTATAATAGTTTGACTTCCTGGTCGATTAATAAACAAAATCATCAAGTATACATTTTGTAAATACCTAGACATGAATAATCTGTGCATATGTTAGCACAGCAAGAACATACAACAACTTAAAAAGAACGCGTAATATTGGTTTTACACCAAGATTATAAATAAAAATAATCATTCTTCAATACTTCTATATTAATTTTTTTTTAATAAACTGAGCAATGTAAAAATATATAATTATAAAGGGTTTGAGTTTTTAAAAAACATCAATGAGACATGTTTAAATATGTGTACATATTACTATAAAAAAGGTGCTATTATAAAAACGCAGCTTTATAGATTTCTTAATATAAAGAACATAATATTATTTAGAAAGTTATAAAAGAAGGTCTAAACATTCTGCTGGAAGTTCAAGTTCCTTTTTTGATTCAGAACTTCGCCTCATAGAAGTGATAAAGGGGTCTGATGAGCAGAGCAATATTCTCATTACATCTTCATTTGTAAACTTTCTAGAAAATTTTCTTGCAAAATGTTCTTGAAAATTTTTAATATCTTTATTTCTACTTTTCTCAGATAAGAGGCTAATTGGAACTGACTTGTCCTTTACAACCTGGTGTGAATGTACAATCATCTTGTGAACTCCAACAGGCATAAGATACCATTTAAAATGTGCTACATGTGTCTTAAATGTTTCTTTTCAATATAATTCTAGTTTATCTTGATCAATTGGGTGTTTACAGGATAACACACAAAGGAAAATGAAAAATCTTTTAACAAGACCCTTATCAATTTTAAGTATTTCAGCAAAAGTTTCATGGCTTCTAAATGCCCTTCTTGCTGTGTTTCCATCATTGGATGTACCAGAGCCACCACTTCTTGGTACATCAACAACAAGTCCAAGTGTATCTTTGGTTTTTTCCTGAATTTCTTTTTTTCTACTTGCAACTATATTTTTCTTTTCAGGAGTGTTTGCATGAAAAAATCCACAACCATTGTACACAATCATTGGTCTTCTTCTCTGTCCAATATGTAACAGACATTCAAAACAACGAATCCAGAGATAAAGAGCGTGGATTCCCAGGTCCAAAGACATCTGAATAGGTTGTTTATTATAAGCAATTACAAAGTCATTCATTTTTTTAGGATTTAATCCACATATATTGCAAACTTGATAAGAATCAGTTAATGGAGAAAGAAGAGTGGAAACTATTCCGTCAATCATAGTACATTCTAACTTGTGCTTGACTTGAAATAAGTCTAT